GAGGATTCTCAATTCTTCTCACTTCCCAACGATCGATTCGATGACAACCAACTCTTTCCCACTAGTGCTCCATTGCTAGTTAGACCCAATTGATCACACACTTCTAAGAACCAGATGAACACTTCCTGAATCCCAGTGAAACCGACAGCCACTAATGCTTGAATGACCCCACACTCACGTCCTGAAGACCACAAGATAGATGCTCCAACTAATACCTCGTCAACGAGTTACTTCTCTTGGCGCTTTAGTCCGTCAATCACTAACGGTTTCTAACCACTGAATCCTGAAAATGCTGAATAACCCTTCTGTGGGACCCTATCCGCAGGCCTCCCACATAATACCCCTTTTCTAAAGGTGTTCCAAACAAGCTTCCCGCTCTCGGGCTCTAGAAATCATTCTCTTCAGGGTTCGCACCCTGACTCACTTACCAGCTCAAACGCCCACAGCTGAACTGCAGCAGCTGAAACAACCTCTGCCCTAAACCGGGCTACAAACTACTCCCCAAGACATAGTCTACAATCCCAAAAGTGCAATAGATCGCACAATCAATCCTTTTCGTCCGATACAAGAGATCCAAGGCAAACCGGACCTCACAAATGCTTATGCCACGTCGACCGTCCTGCGCTCACCGGCGCTGAAATAATGCTGCCTATTCCTGCAACCAACTGATCCCGAGCTGGAATACAACCTGATCCTGGGGTTGCAAGTCTGCTCACTCCTTCTAGCTCTAGAAACTGAGAGGGCACAATCCTTACTCTACAAAACGACAAACCAATCCCTCAATAAACCATTCCCCTTTCCAGCTGCAAAGCCCCAGATGAACATAATCATCACTCCCTTCCGGAGTTCCCGCGACTCACATTCCGACCTCGAGCAAACCTCTGAGCCTTAAATCTAGAAACCCACGTGCTAGCCTCTCCCGCTCAACCCACGAGAATATAACGAGCACATATCATCTTCCTGATCCCAAATAACTGCAACCCTCTGCTCATCAGAATATGTACCGGTGACAAGTCCCGATACCGGAAAGCTCGACCAACTCTCCTCCCTGCCGTCGTTACAGCTGCGGAAGCCGTCTCAACAATGGCTGCATGGCGCTCGGAAAAATACTCAACCATGGCGGTCTTGAAAGACCCAATCATCTCCGGAATTTATCCCCGAACAATCTCGATCACCTTTTCCCGGATGATCTCTCTGACACGATCCTCTTACAATACTGGCCTATCCTGGCTGCCAGTTCTCGATCCTGATCCGGACCCGGTCTCAAAACGTTTCGAATAATCCATACCACAACTGGGAACCAACTTCCAACTAAACCCCAGGGGTTGTGACTTCCTTGCTACGCGTATAGGTCATGTGCTTTTAGTAGTACGGGCCCATACTACCTTCCACACCTACCCATATTTGTCTCAAGTATCACCACAACACCCTAACAATATACATAGACATAGCGAGCGCTTAATCCTCACTCCTAGAGGAAAGCTAAATATCTCATAACCGACGTACCGGTCCCACGCAATCCATTCATCCATGAAACTTCCACCAACCCTGCAACCCTAGTGTATGCTAGCCATACATAACGCTGGACCTAATAGACTTTCGAATATCCAATCCTACCCTAAGCCCCCAATCAGACAAGAACAGAACATAAGGCCAAATCAAACATTCTCAGGCTATAAGATCTTAGTTATGTATAACCATGATGCATACACTAAACAACTACAATAATGATGTCAATCTCATATAAAGGAAACCCTAGGCTAGCAGGCATCATGTAATCATGCCATTCTATCCTGCAATTCCTGAAGATCCCTAGCCTAGTACTAGCATGTTGTTCTAACATATCATAATATGAAACAACCGTATGGTATTTAGGGGTCTACTTACTGGCTCCGGCTGATCGTACACTTCACATCCTATTTTACTCATTTTGAAAACCATTTAAAATCATTTTTGAAAATCTTTCCTTGATTTGAGACTAGATTCACACGAGTGTTCCTCCAATTCACTCAAACCAAGGCTCTGATACCAACTTGTAACACCCATAAAATTCGAGCCAATTTAAAACTTTTTAAATCATTTGAAACCATTCAATTATTAAAATTTGTTTTCAAAATAGTTTATACATCAGAGTTCCCAGAAATCATGATCGTCAATCGAGGAAGTGTACGGTCACGCCTTCGCGTACCCGCGGACATCCGCTGGACCTGAAACAATAACTGAAACTGTAAGCCCGAAAGCTTAGTGAGTTACCCCCAAAATACCCATACCACAACAATACACATATAATCATAAACAACATACTATGGGTCCAGTCAACCATCGGGTTGGAATACCCCAGGCCCTCAACCATCAGGTTGGAATGCCAACATACTATGGGTCCAATCATCCTCGGGATGGAATACCCCAGGCACACAACCAACAGGTTGGAATGCCCACATACTACGAGTCTAATCATCCTTGGGATGGAATACTCACGGCCCACAACCTACAGGTTGGAATGCCCACATACTACTAGTCCAATCATCCTCGGGATGGAATACTCACGGCCCACAACCTACAGGTTGGAATGCCCACATACTACGAGTCCAATTATCCTCGGGATGGAATACTCACAGCCCACAACCTACAGGTTGGAATGCCCAGGTCTTTTGGCCTCCGCACAAAGCAGATAAACCTCAACCGCTAAACGAACATGTGCACATATAACAGATAATCACATAACAGTCTAATGATAATACTTGATCTAACAGATCCTACCACATAGCACATAACACCATCCTATCTACCAGGATGCCGATCTAACAGATCATACCACATATCATATAATATTATCCTACCCTCTAGGATACCGATCTAACAGATCATACAACATTCCATATAATATTGTCCTACCCTCTAGGATACCGGTCTAACAGGCCATACCAGCATAACATAACCAGATAACAATCCAAAGGGTCGGCCTTGGTGCCTTAGACCCTTGAGTATAGTGAGGATAACTCACCTTGCAATGTCGGACTGAACCACAAAATCACGCTCCCGAAACACTACCCCAAACTCCAACACCTCAAATGAAGCTAGCTGAGATAGACTTCAGACCCACAAACGTTCATGCCTCCAACTTCTTGATCTTCAAGCTTCTTGCATCAAGGTCTTCTTTCCAAGCTTGAAATTTACACTAATATGGAGCACACACACGAATTAGGGTTTCTGGACTCTCAAGAGGGTGCAAAGGGACTAAGGGAGGCTAATGATCCCTTAAATAGGGTGCCAAACCCCGGAAATTAGGGTTTCACCCTCCAGCTCCAACTCGTCGAGTCACTCTTCCGACTCGGCGAGTTGGTCACTTAAACATATGGCCCAAACCCGCTGCTACTCGACGATTCAGGTAACCAACTCGTCGAGTAGATTCTTGAATTCATGAGAATTTATAACCATAAATTGGTATTCGAGAATCGGGGCGTTACATCTCAACACTATGCTCTCATCTAGACCCAATGGTCACATCTCATACTCTAATACTCTCATCCGATCTTACCTCTCTCTCTCTCTCTCTCTCTCTCTCTCTCTCTCTCTCTCTTTCTCTCTCTCTCTCTCTTATGATCCCTTATAGATCCTTAATATTTCTTCTTACTTTTGAACCCCTCACAGATTCCATACTCTTAATCCCTTGTAGATTACATCTAAGTTCTCAAAAGAACTCTTTTACATTGTTCCTCTCAAGGAACCTTTCTCTATCTTCTCTAACCATAAACAATATGGATTTCCATAGGAGTCATCTATCTACATCCCAAAATGGATCATCATCTCTTTCCCCGTTCAGACATAATCTTATTCGTGAAGGCGTTATACTCTTTGTCCTCGAAGGAACTATATTCTCGTCCCCGTAAGAACCATACTCTCGTCCGAGTAGGAACCATACTCTTATTCCCATAGGAATCATACTCTTGTTACCGTAGGAACCATACTCTTATCCCCATAAGAATCTTCTATCTCTTGTCCTCTTCATAGACCCAAAGGGTTTACCAGAACCACCACCATCCATACCTTATAACCCCAATCACTAGCTTGATGCATGTGTTCTCTCCAGCAAACCATAAATAAAGCTCACCCACTCAGATTGAACCATCATGAAGCTCGACTCCTCTCTAGATCAAACCATTGCCAGCCTACGACCTTATCTTCTCCGATGAACCGTCACTGATGCAAACCCTAGCTGCCACCGTTGTAGATTTCGAGATTTACAGTGCGTGTCTGTGTTGATTTTCATGTTGTAGGTGTGGATTTTCATATCTATTGTGTGTGCGATATTCAAATGTGGTGGTGGCAGATGGTGGTGACAGAGAGTGGTGCGTGTTCTTAAGTGTGCGTGTCTTCATATAGATGTTTTTAGTGTGTGTTTGTTTATCAGATATAGGTGGTGAAGGTTGGGAGAGTGGGAGAGAGAGTGATAGGATTTTCTTTGATTTTTTATTTTTTTAATTGAAAAAAATAAATAATATATAAAAAATAAAAAAAAAATAGAAAAATCATTTTATATGCAATAAAGATGAATCACGTAAAAAAAAAAAAAAAACCACAAAGACCATCACATGAACAATTTAATAGCTATACTGAATCATTGTGTTTTGAAAAACCATATGACCAACTGCGTAACGTTGTGTATGAAATATTTATATATAATTGTCGACCTAAATTTTGTTTGGATATAATTTTTTTGTAGGAAATTACTTTATTACCATAGTTGGGGGAGGCCTGGCCGGTGGTGCAAAATACAAGTGGCAGATGACTTTCCCTATATCACATCCACCTTCAAGATTCCAACAAGTGTACAGTGAGGATCTTAGAGCCATTCACAGGTACTCATGAACACCGTATGTCAAGTTACAAAATACCCCCCTCATGCACCATAATCATCACCCGATCATCATTATATAATCCAACAAAGTCCGCACATTATATAAACCACTAAACAAAAAACTTTAGAAATTATGATCAAGATGCACTTGAAAACATACCATATCGCTGTCATTGTTCTCTTCATCGGCATGTCTAGTGCTACTTTGGCATACGATCCTAAAGGTGGAAGAAAGACCCTTGTGAACCAAGTGTCCAATTCGAGCCCAACTGGGGCTTCTGGTTCAGCCCATGGTCCGAACTGGGACTATAGTTGGGGCTATGGGTCAAGCCCTGGGAGCGGTTGGGGTTACGGGTCAGGGTCAGGCCGGTCTGCTAATGGGTTTGGTAAGGGTTATGGGTTTGGTTATGGTTCTGGTAGTGGGAGTGGGAGTGGTTCAGGCTCTGGTTATGGCTATGGGTCTGGTAGTGGTGGAGCTCATGCCGGAGGGTCTGGTTATGGCTATGGGTCTAGTGGTGGTGGAGCTCATGGAGGAGGGCATGGTGGTGGTGGTGGAAGTGTCCCCGCTGGCCACGGATAATTAAAGTGGCTGCAGCTTTCTGTCAAGCAATCTATGTACGGTTTAATATTATAATAAGGTGATGCTTGAACAAGGACACAAGGTACGTGTTTACTGGTATGTGTTGTGGTGTGAATGTGTATGTTTATATGTGATATAGAGATGGTCAATAGATATATAGGTAATGATCATCCTAAGTTATAGTTTTGAGTGTTTTTAATATATTATTGTAATCTCTCTTTTCAAACTTGGCAAATTGTGAATTTTATATCTTTTTTTTTTTTGGTTGTAAAATAAAGATTAGAATTGCCGTGCATTCAATAACCAAAGTTAGAAGGAGCCATATATAGGTTGATATGTATGGTCCAATATCTATTCATGAAAATTCCACCACCTTTGTTTCCGTGTTATTCCATACTAACTGAAATGTTACTTTTGGTAGAAACAGATATGTTTCTCTTGCTATCACTACAAACTGTTTATGGTATTGATGTTGGTCCATGCATGTCAAGTTAATTAAAAAAAAAAAGTCTGTCTTGTCACTGTAGCAGGCATATATTGAAAATTGAAAATTGGTCATTATGACCTTATAATATATCCCATGCAATGGGTTAACCTTTATGTGGTGTTAGATGCGCCATACATGTAAGCCTAAAAATGAAAGATGATGAAATTTTTTTGGGTTTGAATTCTATGTCGTTAGGTTATATATAAGTCTCATCTAAGAACAATCAAGTGTTTGTTTCTTGTTTTTTATTTCAAAAACAAAAAGATTAGATACAGGTAACAAGAACCAAAACAATCAAAATCAAACCTACGTTGTTGATGTTTCTGATGCAAGAACTCGAAATCATCTGGAATAGAAGTCGTTTGTAAAAATTCAAAATTAAATCGGAAACCCTTACGCCAACATGAACCTCATATCGGTGATGAGAGAAGACAAACGGGTGTGTCCTTGACATTTTCAACTCGAAACGAAACAATATCATGGCGTTGCATTTACTTTTTATAAATATATTTATTTTTATAGAAAAATTATGATACCTATTACAAACCTTCTAAAACATATAAAATATTTTTATATTCCTTTAAAGAAAATGAATAAAATGGAATAATTGCCATATTATTAAGGGTAAATTACGTCAATCGTCTCTCGTATATATGTCAAAATGCACGTTCAGTCTCTATTATAAAAAATTAACTCGGATCATCCCTAATATGTTTAAATGTTGCGCATTTGGTCACTGCCGTTAATGGTGTTAAGTTTTGGCTTTTAAACCATGAGATATTTACACTTATTTTTACAATTAGAATTATTTAAAAACACAAACTAATTTAAACCTTAACCATCACCCCCACAACCAAAGCAACAAATCTTCTTACAAACCCAGCTCGTTTAATTTCTATTTCTTCATGTTCGGTTTTTGAAGAAATTCAGATTTTACTCAATTTTCATCCTAACAAACCCTCAATTTCATTCTATCTCTAGTAAGAAAATAAGAAATTTTCTAGATTTGATTAATACCTACAAGAAACCAAGTGATATCAAAATCCTAATAAAGTCCAATACCCATAAATCGTTGGAAGAAAAAAACGGGTTCATAAAGAAAAACACGAGTGGGTTTGATTTTCGAAAACCACCCAAATGAAACTAAAAACCCAGATTCCACCATTGAAGCTTAAACTGAAACCAAGGAGTAAAAGTGGGTTTGATTTTCTATTTTTGAAACCTATCGAATCTGAATCCACCATTAACATAGGGGTAAAGCGAAAAAAAAAACCTGCCGAAGTGGGTGCTATTTTTGTGTAATCATACATAGAGAATTAGGGGGTTTGATTTTGAGAGTATCTGAGGGTTTTTGAGAGAATCATCATATCCCTAACATGTGAATGTGTGTGAGTGTCATGGTTGCACCATCAACTTCAATGGAAGCACCACTTCATAACTTCAAACACACACACACAAACACATAACCTTCACACACACACACAAACACTGACCCTACCTCATATCAAAGCAAATACAAATTGAACCCCAGTTTCATCTTCAAAATAGAAATTGAACCCCAATTTAAGAATGAATATGGATTAGAGTTTCGTTTATCGGAAATAGCCAAGGTTGTGGTAGCTGAGAAATGGGGAGAGGAGACGATTAATGGTTGGCCATAATGGGTTGCAATAAGTTAAAAATCGAGATTCTTATTGGTTCTCTCTCCTCCCCGCCTTCTTTTTCGATATTCTTACTGGTGTTCTTCGACTTGCCCCCACCCCTTCATACCCTCTAATTTTTAGCGAGATTACCAGATGGGACTCTACGAATTAAGGTCGTTGAGGTGTGCCTCTTGCTATGTAACTATTTGGTAGAACGATTACATCGACGGAGGGTTGCCGGCGTGAGAAAACGGGAAGTAGAATGAGGGCATCGTGTTTGATGGGAGAGAGGTCAACATGAGACGACGGGGGAACGTAGGAGATCAGATAGTAAATAGAGGTAGGTTTTTGTTTGTTTTTTTTTTATTGTGTTTCTTTTTAATTTAAAAGACTAAAATACCCCACATGTGTCACTTGACTAAAAAACAAACGGCTAACGGTATTAGGAACAAAACACATAAATTTTAAACACACTAGGGGAGTAGGGATAGTCTAAGTTAATTTTTTTGAAAATATGGATTAAACCTAGTTAAATATTAGCTAACAAATGTTTTTTTTAGTTTTGCATTGAAAAGTTTATGTCTTTATTAATAAGGAATATATTCAAAATTTAATCAAACTAAATAATTTTTTAAAATTTAATATCAAAAGTTTATATTGAACCTACACAAAATTTACCATACATAAGTAACAAATCATTTTTTTTCATAAACATAAATATATTCGTATAAGAAAAATAAAACTGAATCTTAAAAATGTACGCACGAAAAATTAAAAAGTAATAAAATGATATTTTTATACTTCAATTTGTTTAGATAAATAATAGAAAACGAAAATATTTAATGATGTATTGTAGTTTGAATATTTTATATAAAGTTTAGACAAAAAAATATATTTATATATATTAAATAAAATATATTTTCATGATCATTAAAATTTGTAAGTTTTAACTTTTTATTTATATAAATATTACATTTTCTATATTTTAGTTTTTTGTCTTTTTATTTGATTTATGGTAATTAATTCAAGATTTAATAGACTTCTTTAAAATTTCACAAATGGTCCTTAGGCGAAGTTTCACAAAATAGCAGAAATTGTCATTATTCAAAATTATCTCAGATTAACAAATTCATCTAATGGTTATCCATCAGAAGGGTCATTTATGTGAAAGGTTTGCTCCATTGGGACAATTCATGCAAAGAAGATTTCATAAGGACTATTTTAAGAACAAAATGAAAAATATAATGGCCATTTGTGAAATTTTATCTAAAATTAATAAAAGTTAAACAAATTACAACTACTTTTTAAAGCTTAGTTACAACTATCCTCTTTTTTTCTTCAATATCATCATCTCCTTCTTCAAACACCACCCACCTCTTACATCAAACACGATCTCCACCACTATTTCCAACGAAGTTAAATAAAAAATCACAAACAAACAAATTTTAAATAATCAAACAATAAAGTAAAATAAAATCTGAAACAAACAAATTTCAGATGCTCAAACCAAGAAATTAAACTTGCTAAAACACCACCAACCTCCGACATTGATGTCAACCTCTTTGATGCCTAGAAACATCATCTCCAAAAACTAACTAGACACAAAATATCAGAAACAAACTGTGAAAAATGATTCTAAAGATCGAAATCAAACATGAAAAATGATCCAAGAATTGAAATCAAAATCAAAATCAAAATCACAATTATAACGAAAACCAAAATCAAGCTGCAAATGGTTTTAGAAATAGAAGGTTTATGAAGAAAAACCTAGATAGTCAAGACTAAGGAGTTGGAGATTCGATTTTCAATTTGTAATGCAAATCTTGGATTTGAGTTGCAGATCCAATTAAGTTATATGTTCTCTAGAGTTTTGTGCAAAGTTCTGTGCACATTGAAGTTTTGTACTTGTGGGAGTTTTGTGCTCATAGGTGGTCCAATGGAGGAACGAGAGGGAGAAAATCAACCATATTGAGTTCTATATTCGAAAAAGTTTTGTGCTCATCGGAACTAATAAATATGTTCGACGGTGTTTTGTGCTCGCCACAACCAAAAGGGGCAACAAGAAAAAGCAGAGGTAAGGTTAGGAGAGTGGGACGATCTACCTGGACAAAGTGTTCAAAAGTAAGTTAGGGGTATGGGTGATGGCAATGATGAGTGTGAGGGCGATGATACTTTTATTAATTTAATATTAATAGAGAAATATATAAATAATACAAAATACAAAAAATACATGAATTATCCAGGAAGGGTATAGTAGTCTTTTCATGTAGGCCTTAGACAAAAATCAAAAAATGTTCCATGAATTTAAATAAAAATAAAAATCATAATTGTAACGAAAACCAAAATCAAGATGAGAATGGTCTAAAATTCGAAGGTTTGTGAAGAAAAACCCATATATTCATGACCAAGGAGTTGCATTTTTTATTTTCGATTTGTAATGCAAATCTTGGATTTGTGTTACAGATCCAATTAAGTTATGTGTCCACTAAAGTGATATGTATATTGTAGTTATGTGCTCGCATGAGGTCTATGATCATAGTTGGTCTAGTCGACTGTGGAGGAACGAGAGGGAGAAAATTCTCTAGAGTTCTATGTCCGGTGATGTTATGTGCTCGTCGGAACTAAGAAAAAACTGATGGGAGGTCGAGGGAGTGGGACGATCTACCTATCCAAAGTGCTTAAGAGTAAGTAGACTAGTAGAGGTATGGGTCACGGTGATGTTGAATGTGAGAGCGATGAAACTTTCATTAAATATGATAATAATAAGGAAATAAGTAAATACTAAAAATTAATATATATATATATATATATATATATATATATATATATATATATATATATATATATATATATATATATATATAGTAAGG